TAAATCAAACTACATTCAATCAAATAAAATTACACATTGATCGGATTAGAAAGGGTGGTGTAGAACTGAAAAAAAATATCAATGGGAAAAAATAAAAGCACAAATGCTTGAATTTCTTATCAGATTCAATAATATCTTGTGCATATATTCATCAGATAAAATTTATAATAAAAGCTCTTCTGACATATTTTAGCTCTCATATTAGATATGTCATGAAGGCAAAAATGACAATTACACTTGCAGTAGCTCATTAATCAATATTATTGGCTTTCTTTCTCTGCTTCTGAATGTGACGGCTGAAGTTTTGTTCAGAATATGGATTGCAAAGTTTAGGATTCAAAAATACAGAACTTTGGAATCAGGTCTGATTCAATTAGATTAACAAAAATTAAGGCATGGAAACAATCTAGTTTTTCAAATTCTGAATACTGTCCAAAGACTTGATGCCACAAACCTCACAAACTCAAATTCAGTACATGGGACTTCTTTAGAAGTGCTCATTATAGCCAACAACTGTTTAAATACATAAATAAAATAATGGTTAAACTCGATTGGTTGATTGATTTGACTATTAATCCCAAAGGGACATTCACATGCCACAGCAGAGCTCACCACACAATAAATAAATGAATACATTAAATAAGATAAAATACTGCCAAACACTGCATTTCATAAACCAGATTGGACCTTGATGTCTTGAGAAGCTATTGCAATTTTTGCATCAGAAGGTCCATGAATGGACAAGTTTACCGTTCAAGAAAGGTCAAAAGTTTCCTTTTGCTTAGGTATTTAAGTGCTTTTGTGTACTTAACTAGATCGGTTGATTCTTCTGTATTTGTGCAAAAAGTGCAAAATCTTCGGTAGCTGGTTCAGCTGATATGGTCCACTCACCAGACTGAATTCCAGGACCAGCGCTCGCTCCAGAAGTTTCTCTGGCTTTGCTCGCCATCTTTCATCACAATTTGCTTGAAGAAGCTCAGAGGAAGGTTGACGCAGCGCTTGGAGGGCAGACGCATCTGATCCAGGGAACACATGCAGATGAACAGCCAGACGGCATTAATGACATCTAAAGATTCAATACAGGAGACTCCAGCCTACCTCTAGACAACACCCGGGACACACAACCCTGCGAACACACAGCATAAACGTCACAAAACAGTTTCATCATGCGCAGAATCAGAGGAACGAGTGATCTGACCTGCGACACACAGAGCAGACGTTATGCCACGTGAAATACAGGCTCCTCATCGCACAGCAAGAACAAACCTGAGAACAACAGACTTTTAGACACTGTAGATGACACATTTTGAGCTCCTGAATCAGGATTGGAGGAGTTCTCACCCGCCAGTCCCCATATCTCTCACACGACAGATCCTTCACATCTCCTTGCTCCTCAGAACTGTGCATTTTCATGACGTCAACAATCGTTGTGAGGACAGACCCCCTGTTACTGCTCTTCACCTTCAAAAGGAAGAGATCAACAGCACAGAGATAAAGTATTGGAGTAATAGCACTTCACTACTGTACGCAATTAGGGGATCTGCACTTGAGTTGAGCTCTGCTAAAGTTAAACACTTGTACTTCTACTCAGTTACACTTACAAGGTAACAGTAAGATTTTTAATGTTTTTTAAAGAAGTCTCTTCTCCTCACCAAGCCTGCATTTATTTGATTCAAAAACAGCAATATTGTGAAATGTTTACGATTTAAAATAGCTGTTTTCTGTGTGAATATATTGTAAAATTTAATTTATTGCTGCGATCAAAGCTGAATTTTCAGCATCTTTCCTCCAGTCTTCAGTGTCACATGATCCTTCAGAAATCATTCTGATTTGCTGCTCGAGAAACATTTATTATTATTATTATCAATAGTTCAAAAAGTGGAGTACATTTTTTTCAGGATTCTTTGATGAATAGAAAGATCAGCATACACTATACCATTCAAAAGCTTAGAGTCAGTATATGTATAGAACTTTCTACTCAATGAAACCTGAAAAAAAAAAAATTCTACTCAGCTGTTTTCAACACAACAATAAGTTTTTGAGCAGCAAATCAGAATATTAGAATGATTTCTGAAGGATCATGTGACTGGAGTAATGATGCTAAACATTCAGCTTTGAAATCACAGGAATAAATTACATTTTAAAATATATTCAAATAGAAAGCAGTTATTTTAAATAGTAAAAATATTTCAAAATTTTACTGTTTTAGCTGTACTTTGGATCAAATAAATGCAGGCTTGGTGAACAGAAGAGAACTCTTTAAAAAAACATTACCAGTCAAAAGTTTTTTGAACAGTAAGATTTTTAGTGTAGACATATGCCTGAAATCTTTCCTTAATTATTCAAAACTAAACACTATTTTTTCTTTATCCTAATGTGACTTCAAAAGATGAGAGAGTAAATGACAGTACAATTTTGGTTAAAAAATATCCTTGATTAACAGCCTAAAATCACTATATTCAAATGTCAAAACAGGACCAATCAATTCGCTGAAAATGTTCAGGTAACAGGTTTCAGAATACCGATTTAACATTAAAGGGATAGTTCACCCAAAAATGAAAATTCTGTCATTAATTACTCACCCTCATGTCGTTTCAAACCCCGACATCAGCTAAACAGCGCATGCTGTTCTGTGTCAGCTGCATCACGCCGGATCGGGTTCCTACGTTGTTGTGATTTGAACTGAACGGAAACAGCGTATCCGTGTGACGCAGCTGACACAGAACAGAATACGCTGTTTACATCCAGCAGATATTCTCCAAAATGGCACCAGGGTGATGCAGAGGAGACAAATTGTTGAATAAAAACGTAATTTTTTTTCTCTTTTGCGCACAAAAAGTATTCTCGTAGCTTCGTAAAATTACGGTTGAACCTTTTTTGAACAGTAAGATTTTTAGTGTAGACATATGCCTGAAATCTTTCCTTAATTATTCAAAACTAAACACTATTTTTTCTTTATCCTAATGTGACTTCAAAAGATGAGAGAGTAAATGACAGTACAATTTTGGTTAAAAAATATCCTTGATTAACAGCCTAAAATCACTATATTCAAATGTCAAAACAGGACCAATCAATTCGCTGAAAATGTTCAGGTAACAGGTTTCAGAATACCGATTTAACATTAAAGGGATAGTTCACCCAAAAATGAAAATTCTGTCATTAATTACTCACCCTCATGTCGTTTCAAACCCCGACATCAGCTAAACAGCGCATGCTGTTCTGTGTCAGCTGCATCACGCCGGATCGGGTTCCTACGTTGTTGTGATTTGAACTGAACGGAAACAGCGTATCCGTGTGACGCAGCTGACACAGAACAGAATACGCTGTTTACATCCAGCAGATATTCTCCAAAATGGCACCAGGGTGATGCAGAGGAGACAAATTGTTGAATAAAAACGTAATTTTTTTTCTCTTTTGCGCACAAAAAGTATTCTCGTAGCTTCGTAAAATTACGGTTGAACCCCTGATGTCACATGGACTATTTTACAGATCTCCTTGCTGCGTTTCTGGACTTGGGAACATTTCAGTTGTGTTGCTGTCTATGCAGGGTCAGACAGCTCTCAGATTCCATCTAAAATATCTTGATCTGGGGGGAACACCAAGTACTTAAAGTATGATTTCTCATTACTTACACATTTGAAACAGCATAAAGAATTACATTGAGAACCTGGAACTTAAAGGGGTCATGAACTGAGAAACCAAAATTCCCTTGATCTTTTGACATACAAGAGGTCATTGTGCTATAAAAACATCCTGTAAGTTTCAGAACTCAAAACTCTCTCATTACTCTAAAACCCGCTTATATTGAAGCCAGTCTGACAAAACGACTTGTGCAACGTATGACTCTATGATGTAATAGTGTGGATAAGCACAGCCTCCACAGAAGATCAATGCCTGCTTCGACATCACTGCCTGTTTAGCCCCGCCCACCGATTCTACATCACTGCCTGTTTAGCCCCGCCCACCGATTCTACATCACTGCCTGTTTAGCCCCGCCCACCGATGCTACATCACTGTCTGTTTAGCCCCGCCCACCGATGCTACATCACTGTCTGTTTAGCCCCGCCCACCGATGCTACATCACTGTCTGTTTAGCCCCGCCCACCGATGCTACATCACTGTCTGTTTAGCCCCGCCCACTGATGCTACATCACTGTCTGTTTAGCCCCGCCCACTGATGCTACATCACTGTCTGTTTAGCCCCGCCCACTGATGCTACATCACTAGGCTTGTTTGAGATGTGCCTCGCCTGAAATGTAGGCGAGAGCAGGCGGCTGCAGTGAGGGGGAGGAGTGAAATAAGCGCAGTCAAGACGGACAGTTCTGAGCTCTTGAAGTGGAAGAGATACCAACGAGATCATAGGCGTATATCGCGTTATTCTCACTCATATGCTGTGCTGCTGATAAACATGATATAACTTCCGACGCAGGATTTTTAAAAAGATTGACACTAAAATACGATGCGGTGTCGACTATATTGGATCCGACAGTAATGTCACAATGCACAAGTGTGAGTAACAGTTTTCATTACGTGGTCACTATTGCTCTGTCGGTCATTACAGATCGTTTGATATGAGTATTTAAGCGTTTTTAACCTAAATCACAGCAGCGTCCATCTGTGAGGAATGTACGCTGTCAAACACACAACTATTAGCTAATCATAGCAGTGGTGTTAACTTCCGAGCCTACAATCCTCTACACTTATTCATACAGAGCGTTCTGATGAGGGGGGTCAAAAACTGGACAGAAAATAATACTAGTATAATACTAATTACGTCTAAATTATGAGGTTTTTTGATGTAAAAATCTTGATAACATCATAAGTGCAAAATAACAGTACAAAATAAAAACTGGCAGTTCATAACCCCTTAAAAAAAAAATAAAAGTTAGACATATTTGGGGCACTTTGTATATAAAGTGCACAGAGTAATTTGTGTTCCACCACAGAACACAGAAAGCACCACTGACATGACTGCAGTCTTCATTACATACAACATAATCAAGACAGAGTGACGCACCACTTTGAAGAGATCCCGGTTGCTAGCAAAAGATCTGGTCCGGCGCTTTCCTGCGCAGAGTGTGAAGTCTAAGAGAGATTGTGTGACATGACTACACCTTAATATGGAAAGAGGAGATGCATCCATGTTTTTGTGGGAAAATCCCCACCACATTTAAAGGAAACACCTTTTCATTTCACATCACGTCATTTCAAAATCAAAAGAAAAAAAACGTATCACCTGTTAATCCTCAAATTTTCACTACTGTACTAACAGGTGTTATAAGTTAATTGATTCATGTAATTTCTCATTAAAATGCTCTTTGTAATCATTTATTTGGAAGTCAGTGTGACAGACGTGATCTTGTCAGGTTTCCTCGTTTACAGTATTCAAAGCAACTAAAACCAAGATCTGACCTGTAAAGCTGGCATCCTGCGCATCACTTCCTGAACCAACAGCTTCCTGCACAGTCGGGAAAAACCGTTATAAACTGCAATAATCGGTTTAATCTGCTTCAAGTTTGCATTCGTGTAAGTGCTGCTAGGAATCTGAAGAGGACGCATACATCAGAGCGTATCCTGTGAGGAGCCGACTTCAGGAAAGAACGCTCTTCAGCTTCTCCATTAATCGTCAAGCCATCTGCCGTTTAAAGCAAACAAAACTGTCAGTGATTTACCAAATTCAGAGGTTACAGAAAAAAAGTCATGATACTGCTCAGATAAATTTCCACTTCCTTTGCGAACAAAGTAGTAACATTAAAGGCCAGAGTCGTGGACTAAGAGGTTTCTGTACGTTTATAGCTCGACTCGGTGTTGTGAGCCAGACGTTTGCAGCGGTCAGTCGAGCGAATCTCCTCCATTAGCAACTCATGCAGACTGATCTGCTCTTTGGGCTTTAGGCCTATCCTACGCTCGGACGCCTGAGGAAGAGGAAATAAAGAAGAAATCCATGGGAATGGAAGCCAAAAGCTGTTAGTTGACAAATGTGACCCTGGACCACAAAACCAGTCAAAAAGGTAAATTTTTTCAAATTGAAGTTTTTTTAATCTGAATAAATAAGCTTTCCATTGATGTATGGTTTGTTAGGATAGGACACTATTTGGCCGAGATACAACTATTTGAAAATCTGGAATCTGAGGGTGCAACAAAATCAAAATATTGAGAAAATCGCCTTTAAAGTTGTTCAAATGAAGTTCTTAGCAATGCATATTACTAATCAAAAATTAAGTTTTGATATATTTACAGTAGGAAATTTACTAAATATCTTCATGGAACATGATCTTTACTTAATATCCTAATGATTTTTGGCATAAAGGAAAAATGGATAATTTTGACTCATACAATGCATTGTCTATTTCCTCAAATATACCTGTGCTACTTATGACTGGTTTTGTGCTTCAGGGTCACAAATGCGATCTTGGACAAATAAACGTTCATTTAAAATTAAGCAGGCAATCCAGAGGGAATGTATCAGACGGTCAAAGTGTCTTTATATGACAGGGAGAGGATTTGTGATATCAGCCAAAAAGGAAATAGTTTTTTTTTTATATGTTGATGAGAAATTATGATTTCTCAAATTTAGGAATAATGTACATTGATGAATTGGCACAATAAGACATATGGTCACACAGTGTCAATTTGAAGTCAAGACCTTTAAGTTTCTTCCTGCCTGCTTGGCTTGACTTACGAACGCAAACTCACCGGTCGCAACTTTGGCCGCGAGCGGATGAACTCCAGAAGAGTCTGGTGAGGGTCTGGTTTTCTTTGGCCATCTCCTACATCCTATGGATGCAAGAACACGCATTCAGATAACAGACATCAATCCAATAAAACTTCAGTGAAATCAAACAATATATTGACATAAAAACACACAAGGAAAGAAAGAAACAAAGCCTTTCCGTACAGTTAGCTGAACTTTGCGCAGTGTGTAGCGTCTGAACTGGATGTCCCGCAGAAGCTGGTTGAACGGAGGGGTCTCTGCAGGCTGTGGGCATTTGCTGACAGTCAGTCTCTTTGCTAGCGGCCGCAGCAGCACACCTCTGCTCAACTCATCCACCAGATCCCTCCAGGAGGACACCTGCAGTGCGAGCAATGCCAGCAACTATGACACTGCATTTGAGATGTTTATCCTCAAAGCTAGCGAGAAATATCCAGGATACAACCCGAATGATTGTATAGAATGAATAGATTGTAGAAATCACTGATGGTGAAACGGATTTAAACAGATTTAAAAAACAAAAACAAAAACAAAAAAACACTACACTGTAAAAAATGACTGTGAACTTAACGGTAAAAAAAAAAAAAAAAAAAAAAAAAAAAAAAAAAAAA